TAGCTTCGCGATTCTACCTTCTTCTTCCTCCTTATCTCTTTCCAATGCCTATCACCAACACTCTCGTCTTCGCTTCAGTTTTCGCAATCCTCGTTCCAATTCTGAGTTTCCTGGGTTACGATTTAGTCGAAGAACCTCTTTAATCTGCAATTGCTGCAGCAAGAGAACCGGAGATTCAGGTTCAGGTGAGAAAATCTCTTTGATTTCTGAGGTTTGTTTCTAAGTGTCGTCTTCTATTTCTTGCTCATTTGGAATCTGATTTAGGGTTTAATCGTGTAGTGGAATCGAACAAATGGGATTTTGTAGGGTTCTTAATGTTTAGGGTTTTAGACAAATCGAAGAGTTTGTATATAAACTACAATCTTTATAATGTGGATTGAAAATGTTCGTTACTTCAATTTTGTTGGGTTTGATTCAGTGAGTTTCTTAAGGAACTAAAAATTGGATTTTTTTTTTTTTTTTGGTTGCAGGTGAAAACGAAAACAGAAGTGTTTTAGATGCTTTCTTTTTGGGAAAAGCATTAGCTGAGGTTATCAACGAGCGAATTGAGTCTACTGTTGGAGAAGTTTTGAGTACTATTGGAAAGTTTCAAGCTGAGCAACAGAAACAAGTTCAGGAGATTCAGGTTCTTCAACACTCTGTCTCGGTTTTTTTTTCTTTCCCTTGTCAATGAATCTTTGTGGTAAACTCTATCTATCTATTCACCATAGAGGGGACTTGATTAATGAGAGAAGTCTCTAACTGTCCACCAATGCGACAATGTCTAATCAAAATCAAGAATGTTCCCGACACATTCTTCCTTAAACCCTTCAGCACTCTACTAACCGACATTATGTCGGTTGCGCACCACCGTTAGACTAGTTAAGAGTAGTTATGCGCTAAGAACACCTTATCGTTGATGGGTATTATTATTATGTAGAAAGGCATTTGGAAAACCTCGATTATTTGCAAGATTGCGATGAATATTGACATGTATTCACAATTGTACATGAAAAAGATCTTGATAATTGATGGTTATTATTACGATCTGAATTCACAATGTGGAGTTAATAATTATTCCTCATTCGATTACAGGAGGAGGTACTCGAACGAGCCAAGAGAGCTAAGGAAAGAGCAGCTCGAGAAGCCATGGAGGAACAAGGACTTGTTGCTTCCAAACCAGAGACAATAAACCGAAAATCGGACGCTGGCGTTGTTACCTCTGTAACTCCTACTTCGACCTTTGAAAGCAATGCTATAAGTAATGAAAATCTGTCAGGTTTCTCTGGATCTTCAATTGGTGGCGAAAGTTCGAGTTCTAGTGATGAAGACAGTGTCTAAAACGGTTGAGAACAGCTTCGTTAATACAATGTACGTGAAACAATGAAAGTTGAGAATGCAAAAGTTTGATATCAATTCTGTGTAGAAATAAAAGGGCCAAATAACACAAGGAGTTTGGTACAAAGTTGAGGATTTTGGTACATGAATATGCTTTCAAATGGTTGAGTGGTCGAGTCTTTGAAAGATAGAGTGTCTCTCATTAGCATTAAGGAAAGCGAAATCAAGGAAAATGGAAATTAAAGTTATGGTATGATAGAGACTTGAACTCTTGACCTCATATTAGCTATTCAGTTCTTGTACTCGTTAGTTCGATCATTAGATCTGTTGAATTAAAACTACGTACCTTCAGTTTATTTAATCAACCCCCATTTCATAAGTTTAACATCAAATTCACATCATAAAACCAGTGTGTGAGTTTAGGCTTCCACAAGACCTGCTCACTAGATAAGAAGCATGACCGGAAAGATTAGTTTGTTATAAAAAAATGAATTTATTCCTATATATATAGCCAATAATTAACCAGCACGTAAAATGTTGTACTTGGATTTCTTTTTTCAAATGAAAATGCATAAAAGGCAAGAAGCTTGTTTTTATCTAAGATTTTCGAATTTAGTGCCTTTAATCATATGTATATGGCATATATATTATATGCACGGTTTGGAGCAACATATAGAAGCTTTTTTCTTTCAATTTTTTTTTTGTTGTTGTTTGGTCACAAGCTTTTTTTCTTTCGTTTGGATGTGAAAATCAAATAAGGCTTTACACAAAGATAAAGCAATAAAGAATGCTTTATCACCACCTCTTATGATACATTTGAAACACATTGACCATTCTCATCTCTTTATAAATTAGTTTTTCATTTCTGACTTTCCATAACTTTCTTCTGCATGCCTCACATGGGTACGATAATATATAGATAGAGCAAGCTTTTGTTTTATAAATTTCGACTTTATCCCTTTTGTTTTCAGTTTTACTTTAGTTGCAACATACCAAAAACAATTTATTTGAAAGAAAAGAAAAGCGAGATGAAGCATCACTATCATGAACAAAGCCAAGAATCAAAAATCTTGAGAAAAAGATCGGTGGACAATTTTATTTGATTTTTTTTTTTCGTTCAGGATTTTGTGAATCTATATCATTGTGGAATTATTATCATGAACGCTTTTTGTGTGGCGTGTAGTGGAGAGGGGGTCCATATTCACCATATATTTCTCATGTCGCTAATAGCTTGTCAAGTATGAGTGTATGACTAATATAATAATGGCTCTTGTAAGAAAAGAGAAAAAAAATTGAAAAGGATTCATTATGATTGTATACATAATCAGGAATTTATACAAACATTTTCAACGTTGATTAGTTTATAAAGTAATCCCATACGTGAACGAGTTTTATTTGGACGAATGTTGACTGACAAGAAGTCAAGAAAGATAGCAATTTCTTAATAGCATGATTTCAAAAGTCTAATTGGTTTATGAAATTGTCGTAAAACTTAATATAAGTCAAGAGAGATTTACAAATATTAAAACATTTAATCAACCAAATCTTTACCGATCAGATCAGACAGAAGAGATCTTTTTTTTTGGTGAATTACGTACAGCAGAAATCATCTTGTTCATTGTTTAGTTTATTTATTTTTCGTCCAATACACCTTTTGTCTCCTTGTTTGCCTTTTATTTTATTTTATCTCATTATGCTTTTGGACTAATTAATTATAATGAATGTTTTTTTTGCTGC